AACGCAAAGTTTTAACTTTTATATTGCATATAAGCAAGACTCAAACATAATTAAACTAAGTTTTTTTTTCTACTACAAAGCTATTGTATATTTATGACAACCCATCTATATCTTCATGAAAATAATAAGTTTCGTAAATTTCAGTAAGAGATGCCTACCTCAGTTATTTATGTACTCTTGCCTTCATTATTCAATTGGTTGATTGTTGGTTGTTTAATTACTACTTCTTTTTCTAGGTCTCATTCAAACCCATTTGGAAAGTGATTAATCTCATATTAGTGCCTTAATGGCGATTAAAATTTTCATTGATTGCTCTAAATTTGATGAAGACAAAAAAGATCAAAATTTTTTCTCTGTTTTTTTTTTTTTTTTTGCATGGCTGTAGTAAAATTATTACTTTTCATATTTGGATGATGGTGATGTAAACTTAATTAATTTTATCTTTGAACAATAATCATATTATTTATCCTCTTTCATTTTGTAGATAATGACAATATTATAATTCCTTCTAATTTAGATGATAACTTGATTTTATTCCATAAATGAAATAATATTTCCTGCTAAATTCACATGAAATTGCCATTTTTATTTTTCATCACACCCTTATGCCATATCGAATTAAGATTCCACTGCCTATCAATCAAAAACTCTTTCATGCAAGCTAGTCAGAGAAATTGTTAGGCACATCCATCAAGGGAAAGAATATCTCACTTGTTGTTCCAATAATAAATATTAACCCAAGCTTTATAACCTATAGCTTTTTCAAGTGCTCAAACACTTGACAATCACAAAATTACAATTTAAAATGTAAACCAAAACCTTCCAACATTTTAGTGGCGACCTGAAGTTATCACCCGGTAAATGCACAAATATACAGCATTTGCTCTAAATAGTTTGCAAAATATAGAAGAAAAATCAAAGCAAATGTCGCTTAAGAGATTGAGAAAGAAAGATCACTAAATGGAGGAATGCGGTGAGCCATTGCTCTGATGAACCCTTGAATTCCTTTAATAATTTTGCAAGCTTAATCTTTCGTCTTCTCCTTAATATTTCATCACTTTATAACCAGTAAAACTAGCCATCCTCATGCCAAGCAAGTGATTTTAGAGGTTTCAATTGAACTTTATCGAAACATTTTAATATGCTTTGCCAAGCATAGTAAAGAAAGGGATATCAATTTGATAAATAATGAGATATTTTATTTTATTAAAAACTTGGGAGGTATTTAGTTTGCTCAAAAAAGAATGCATTGTAAAAATAATATATTGTATTTGAAATACTTTGGAGTTATTTGGTTTAGTGTAAAATAAATGTAGGATTTTACATTTTTTTAGTTGGTTTGAAGAAAAATGAATCAATGTAACATACACTCATTAGTAGTGATGACTGTTAAGGGCAGTAGGAGGGTGGGCTGCGATGGTGTGCGGGCAGTCGGAATGGCGATGGTGGTCCGACGATAGATAACTGGCAAGGGGCAGGGGCGGTGGTGGCCAATAGGCTTTTGACTTTGGTGATAGGGGTGTAAACAAGACGAACACGAGCAAGCTGAGGATCTTTTCGTGTTCGACTCGTTTTTATTAAGACCTGTTTGAAATCAGTCGTGTTTGAATTAGGCTCGTAATGAGTCTGTTCATGTTCAGCTCAATATTGTTCGGTTTGTGTTTGTTTGCTCGATTTTAGCTCGAATTAAATCCAACTTAGCTCGCAAGGCAAAATTTTCAAACAAGTCGTGTGAATTTTTCTGTTTTAAATTACTTTAAGGTCATAAGAAAACTTGCTTAAGAGATGCTAGACTAAATAAATTTTCTTGTTTTCAAAGCTTTTGGGCTGTTCGGCTGTCCCACTCGCAAGTGACATTCTTCCCTTTTTTTTATATTTTTTTGTTTGGGTTCTTACTTGCATACCTGGCAATTCCTATGTATTTACATTTCTAGCACCGAGACAAACGTAAATGTGGGCTAACCAATCGATGCCCATGTATTTACATATCTAACACCTAAATTTTATCGTTTTACATTTATACCACCTAAATCTCATCTATATATATATATA